CAGCCATGGACCTGCCAGAGGTGGAAAAGGACCCTCATGAGGGTCTAGCACAACAGGCTCCCACCTTCCTATTTATTCAACAATGGAAGGAACCAGAAGGTAGGGACAAAACCTGCATTAGAATTTAGGCACATCAACTCTCAGACCCAGAAGCTTTCCACCATACACCACCTGCCTTGCTCCTAAGTGGAAACGGCTAATAAAGTTTGGAATTTGTTAAACCATTAATCGCATTTCCTTCTTTTGGGTGTTCTTTTAAGCGAAGTAGGAGTTTCCCAAGCACATTAAGGTGAAACAGAAAGAGCCCCTGATAATATAGTTCAAGATAAGAAAGAAGGTGGAAGAGTACACAACCTATCATTTATGCCTTTTACAGTATTATAGGTCCTTGCAAAGCTGCCCTGTCGTCAAAGTAACTACCTTACAGCACATTAAGTTCTAGACTGTATTCCATATTTAAAAGTCTGTATAAATAATGCCACCCTTTAAAAATTATCAGTAAGGTTTCCACACAATATAAAAACACAAGATTTTTTTAAAATCTTCATTTCCTTGAAACTTTAGTTTCCAGTTCTGCAATCACGAAAAAGGCCAATTCTTGTCCTTTCGCATACTTAGGCAGGAAAACGTAAAATTGAGCAGAACTGGAAAGCCCAGGGAAAAAGAATTTTCTTTCTAAAAAAGCTGGGTCCAAGTGTCGTAACAGCCGACGTTTGCTAAGATCCGATGTAATGCTATGATCAACATGGTATTTTTCCCCCTTAGTTACCCACATCTACATCTCCACAATAAAAGCAGCACAGGAGAATAAGCCAGGTCATCAGGCTCTGGAGACTAAAGCTGGATTGCTAGGAGGGAGTCTAGGATAACTGTAAAAATATTCACAGACTTCAAAATGGCTTTATCTTTGGGGGTCTGAGCTCCTGCCCAGGGGAAGGGACACCAATGCTACCATCAGCAAAGGGAACCAGGCAGAAGACTTTCCACTGTGAAGGACCTCAATCCGGATCATCCCAAGTTCAAAACAAAGCCCAGCTGCACAGCAGGTAGATTATCATCATTTCTCAATGAGAAGGCACATGGATTATCTGGAAATATACTTGTGGAAAGGCCCTCTACCTAAGTCCTGATTCTCAGGGACCATTTATTAAATCATTCATCCATTCGTTAACTCAATAAATATTTGTCAGATCCCTACTATATACCAGACCCCAAATGCTGAGACTTCAAAAGAGATATGAACCCAGGCTGCACCATGAGTATCAAAGTTTGAGGGCGGGGGAGAGAGGATTAGGAGATGTCTCACACACCCAAAAATAAATAAGCAATATAATTTTTATACTCATGGTTTACTTCCAACATCAAATTTATGTAGAAAAGAAAGAGGCTGCCCTTTAAAAGAAAAAAAAAAAAGTCAGCGGATCAAAAGCATCATTAATCACTGTCTCTTTTAAATTAAAAGGTTCGCGAAAAGGTGGGCATGGAACCAACGTGGGAAACAAATCAGTCCCCTTGCTGAGTGAGGGTCAGAGTCTAAATGGGAGAGTCCTCGGTATTTACCCAGCTCATCTCCTGCATAATGGATTTGGAGAAGAGATTTCCGCTGGAGCTCTGCTAATTTGAGGCTCGGCTTTTGCTTTTTAAAAATGACACTTGGGTGGCTCCTCTAGCATTGTGACTGGTTTTAGAAGTAAACCTTCCAAGGTTTCTCTCAGTGAGGTTCTCGCTTTCCTGATGTGACCTAATAAATCCCGAGCCACTGCAAAGGTGCTCTGTTAATGAGTCACAGGCCTGATTCTTTGGGTGGCCGTTCGCAGAACGGCCAGCCCTTGTAGAGCAAATGCAAAGCATGCCCCGAGCCCTGGAGAAAGGGCCTCTCACACAGTGGCTGGAAGGGCTAGGGAAACGCCCCGAAGAATCCGGGCTGTCCGCCTGCTCAAGGAGCGCTCGGGGTCAGTGGCCCGGCCCCTGTCCTCTTCACAATGCCTCTGGCCACACCTGCAGTGGTTAAAGCAGGTCAGGGAAGGGGGAGATAAAGCGGGGGCGCGCCGCCCGCCCCCGGTGGACACAGTGCCGAGGGAACTCAGCCTTTGACAGAGGCAGACTTCCTGTCCACGGAATGCCAGCCCAGAGGGAGTTAAATATGTTTAAAACCTAAAATAAAACAACACAGCCTAGTCCATACAAGACCATGAAAGCTGGGGATTTCAATAGCTGCTGGGAGGGTGTAACCATAGCTAGGGAACTGGGATTTTATTGTTCTATTGTTTACTGCAAACTTTGCTGTCCAATTAGACTTGGGCCTGTTCTGAAAAGCTCACAATCCTCCCCGGGGACTAGAGCTACAGAGAAGCACCCGGGACCCCCCACCAACCCTTCCTCACGTCCTTGGTGGTTAGGAAGCTTACATTCATCTCTCCTCCATTTTCTCCTGTGTGTGTGTTTTCATATATATATAAATACATCCATGACGGAAAGAGCAAGAGGGGATAAAAACATCATCTGTACATTTACACTAGTAATGACGATGGCACACACTACTCCCTGAGGGCTTACCACATGCTGGCACGGGGTGCTAGATGCTTCTTCTGCCTTCTCAAACTTACGCCTCTCAGCTCCGGTTTAGGTACTATTCTTATTCCCCACTTTGTAAGTCAAGAAAATGGAGGTCAAGGTCATTGGGACTGTAGTAGAAGAGCTGATACCTGAACTCGCTTAAGCAGTGCTGCTTATGCTTAATACATCACTAACCATGAACACAAAGTACTTGGGGAGGAGGGGAAATGGGAAGGGGGGCTCAAACTCCCAGCACAGGAGACCTTGCTGCTTATTTCTACATTCTCTAGGTGCTCTCCTTCCTCAGCACAAGAGTCCCCGTTTTATTTGGGCGCCAGGGTGCTCAATTACTTGCAATTTGGGGCTCCCTTGTCACTGCAAGTATCCGTAAAACACAGTCCTGGCCAGTAAGACAGACCCCAAGGAAGGGCATTCCTTTTCAAGGAAGACGGCAAATCCAGGAAGATACACTCTGTTTTAAGAAGAAGCCAAATCTGAAGAGAAACAATTTCTTTTTCCCCTGTGCTTTCATCTCGTTCCTGAGCCTGGAAACACACTTTTGGTACCTAAAGGTACAGGGGCCATTGTGTGACCATGAGAACGAAAGTCAAAATGCTAAAGATGGCAGATAAGCAGTAAGGAGCTCATTCTTGGAGGATTCCCTCAACCAGGTGCATCAGCGCTGAAGGCCTACTCCTAGACTTGATCAAAGAGAATTATCCTGCATCCCCATTTGATTAAACCAGATGATACGGACAATGGTCCCCAGGCCAAACCTGGAGGCTGTATGCATAAAGTTTCATTGCAACACAGCCGTGCCTGTTGATTTAAGCATTGTTTAGGGCTGTGCTCATGCTGCCATACAGAGCTGGGTACTTATGAGAGACTGTACAGCCTGCAAAAGCCCCAAAGGCTCTTTTCAGTGAAAGTTTGACAACCTCTGGATTAAGTCGCTATCATCAGGTTTCTGCTCAGTGCACCCGATGCAATCCTAACTGAAACATAGCCAGTCGTGGAAAATTCCCAATAAGTGAAGAATAAGAATGCATGCTCCCACCTACTCAATCCATGTTCAGTACATATGTCCATGAAGTCCTACTACATTCCAGATCCTTTGTGATATGCTAGATCTGAAGAAGTGACTATGTTCCTGACCCTTCAAGAACTTGCCATCTTTGTAGACCGCCATATGCTTGGAGACTAGCTTCAGAAAAAATCATTTGTAATTTTAAGGGCTAGGGAAAAAATACAGGGATGCCATATGAACACACAGTCAGGAAGCCTAACCTAATCTACAAGAAAGAAACCATCTCTGAAAAAGTTCCCTGCTTCTCCATAAACCCACCCATCCCCCCAACTGCTAGCCATCCATAAGCTGCTCCTTGGTGGAGACTGGGTTCATTTTCAAAGCTCCACTGCACAACGGTTGAACAACAGCTTGAGTTCCCTCAGAGAAAACCCAGACTTTGGAAGCTATTTGTCTAGAACCATCTCCTTCGGTGACTTTAACACTTCTATGTGATTATGAGTTCTGTATCTGAAGAACATTTTAAGGTGGAGGGGAGAACATATGGGTATCTATACCTGTTGGGTAATTTAATCCTCAAGGTAATTTCTGCACCAGTGTCCCCAAGATCAAGCCACCTATGCCTACCACCTTATCATGGACGCCAAAGAGTCCAGGAGACCTGCCCTGGGGTGATCTCCAGAAAGAAGAGGGCATTCTACTCTGACAGGAAAGCTAAACAAACATGACGTTCTCCAAAACACATCAACTCGTAGACCCACGGAGTATCGGAGTATCGATGGTAAAGCACCAACAAACAGCAGCTGCATAAAACCTGTAATTCCAGAAGCTGGACAAACGATGATGAGAAAGGCAAGATCCATAAAATCTTGACATCAGGAACGGAAACCCATGAATGGTGTTTTAGGGAGATCAGCTCAATCCTTGAGTCCCAGCACATTTGAAACCAGTGCCATTTAGAAGGGATCCCACTAGATTCTCGAACAGCTTTGTCACCTGTCACCCGTTCTCCTACTGGATTGTTGAATACTGTACTAGAGGGGCAAGGAGCTCCCCGCTGTTCTCATCACAAGCCTTCCACTCTGGATTTCCAAGCACACATCTGTCCGTTTCTCAGCTATGTCGCTGTAATTCAGCTGGTCATAGAGAACCATGCAACTATATGAGATCCTGACAAAGTACGCGGAACTTGTAACATGTGAGTGCTCCTCATGCACCAGGCCCTCCTCTATGGCTCTTACGTTCATTATTGCATTTCATTTTCAGCGCAACCTTTTAAAACTGGGAACAATTTCCGCTACTCAATATATGAGGAAAGAGAAGCTCAGAGAGGTGTGCACACAATCACAGAGCAAGCAAGCCGGGGAGCTGGAAGGCAAGACCCAGCTGATGTGATTCTAGAGACTGCCGTCCTTACCACTTACACGGTAGAAGCTCCCTCTCTAAGCTTCAGGGCAAGACTGGCTCTTCTCTGTGAGGTACTAGCTCTGATTCCAGGAACCTGAGGGTTGTGGGCAAGGAAACAGAAAATAAGAAAACAACAAATTCCAACATCCTTTCCTCTCTCAAGAAGTTGCTAGACTACTTCTCTTTGGTTTAACCACCGCCACCACAATTTGGCCAAAAGCAATGCCATCAGCCCAATGTATTGAGAACCATGTTAGCGCGGTCCTGCCACAGTTGCCCCAGTGAGAAATCATGTGGGAGACAAAGCACAGGATATAAGAAAGAAAAGAGAAGGGATCACTTTGTCTTCCTAATAGCAATGAAGACCTAAGAATTGAACCAAGAATGACTCTGAGTTCCAGAAATCTTTTGGTAAAAAGCCCTAAGGCAAATCCCTGACCAGATGGGCAGCTCCCAAGGCTAAGAGTTACTCAACCATTACCTCCTGTCCAGTCCTCTGCAGCCAAGAAGGTTCTGCCCCAGGAACAAACAGTCCCATGTGATCAGACACCTAGGCAAATAGCTAACCGGACAAATATCTATCTCCGTCTCTCTTTCAAGGAGGCATAGAGGAGAAAACACAGAACGCCGCAGGAGAGGAGCAGACGCAGGCTTCCCAGGCTGGCTACCGTCCCATTAACCTGTGAGCTTGTTAAGGGCACAGTGACGACGCACAACAGTGTGCATGAGCCCACAAACAGCTGGACCGACTCCATGAGAACTAATCGAGTACGACGGAAACTGAGAACAAAGTGACAAACATGTGAAGATAATCTTAACCCCATCAGAATCACACAGGGGGAAGAGGGAGAAAAGTACAGGTCACCTTCTGGCCATCCAAAGCTAGGAGCTCATTTCACAGCTCGGGAAACAGGGGAGAGCACCCGAAGCTGAAGACGAGGCTCCAGAGTACAAGAGGTTACGGAGAAGGAATGATCTAGGGGATCACCAGGACTGACCATGAGACGCAAAGCAGGAACAAGGCTGGTTCCGAAGACCACCACGCGGCGGGTTCAGCTCTTCCTCAGGGTGGTAAGGATAGGTGCAGAGCCCCAGAAATAAGCAAGGGAGGAGGAAAGGAAGAAAATCGTGTTTCCAGTACCTGGAAATGTGGCAATCATGAGGGAAGGTAAGAAAGTCATCGAGGCCATGACTCACATCCACAGAGCATCATAAATTTGGGTTTTTGGTGCTTTCTCCAAATCAGATTTAACCTTCAGTCACAGACATACAGTGACAGGACTGTGCATAGTCCTTCATCTAACTTCAACTTTTAGCTCCGTTAATGAATCACATCACCTAAATACATCACAAGTAGTATTTTGGATAAATCATGAAAGTCTTGCCATTATATTGCCCTAAAAGGGGGGGGGGGGGCGCAGAGGGAACAGCAATTTATTTAGTGTAAATTTTGAGTAGATACTACAAGGTTCCTTGAGCTGTTTTTGGTTTACAGTATGTGTCAGAACATTATGAGCCGTGACATCATGAAGTGGCTCGGATCTCTCTCGGCTTCTGGGAATCCTTCTTCTTTCACAAATATGTATGAGAAAGACACTCAATATTAGGAAAATTTGTAGAAATTACAGTAGGTCCACATAGGCGGGAATCCAAAAGGAGTATCTAATGGACAAGACCAATGCCTACATGCTCTCAAAGCCAAGGCCAGGGAAAGACGGAAGAGTTGAGCCCAAGGGGACCAAAAGGGGACTGAGCCCTGCTGTGCGAATGGAGAGGCCAGAGAGGAGGAAATCACTTTGCTGATGGGAAGCCCCGAAAATAACAGCTGTTGGAGAAGGAACAACAAGGCTGTGGAGCCGAAAGCAAAAACTGAGACACAATTTGCAAGAGACGACAGGTGGGGTAAGAGGACATACCTGGGTAAAGACCAAAGAAGTCACGCCAGGCCAATACGACTCCTTCGGGGCGGGGGGGTGGGGGGGAGGGTGTGGCTCAACAGACTGCTTCCAAAAAGCTTGCCATTAAATAATTTTGAAATTATGTCGGCTTCTTAATAGCCATCGGTTCGGTGAAGAAGGCAGAATATAATTGTACAAGTCAGATGAGGTCGTTATCACAAGGACATGAAACGAAGTCTCCCGGGGTGCCTGAGATGTGACAGATGGGATTTCAGAGATTCTGAGGGGGCACGCAAGCCCCCAGAAGACCGTGGAAAGGTGGCGAGGGCAACAAGGCACCCCTCACAAAATGATGAGCCGAGTGATTAAAACAGATCTTCTCCCCTTCCACACCACAGGAGATACTGGGAGGAAGCGATCTTTTCGCCATCAGCGTGCGAAGCACGAGTTACCAGGCAACAACCAACACGGGCTTTCCGGAGTCACGCCATCCAGCCCTTCCGACCGAGAGGCAAGTCAGGTAGATAAAGGGAAAATAGGAGATGCAATCTTGGAGACTTCTGTTAGTCTCCTGATTCTGTCCCCCGTGACGTTCTCATCAACCGGCGAGGAAGATGCGAGGAGGCAGGCCACACCCATCGAGCGGCTATCACTGGTGTGCTGTCAACCTGCGGACGCCTAGCGAGTGATGTTCCACAGGTGTCCACCTTCCCACCAGCTTTATTTAATATCTCTATCAATGAGAACTGGTAGAGCTTCCTGTGCCCAGCGGACCAGCCTGCAATCAAATCCCAGGGTCTCTGTATCGCCGTGCTGTATCGCTGCTACGCTAATTACCCCAGACGCAGCCCCGTGCTTCATCTCTGCAGGGCGAAGACAAAAATCCGCAAAGGTACCCAAGCGCAGAGAGCTGAGAAGTCGCTCTGCAACGGTCCTATCTGTGCAGACCCCTCCCGAGCTCATGGCGACTTCGAAGGGCTTTTGGGTTTCATTCAGCGGCACATGACCGGGCACATACATTTCCATTTCTGGGAAGGTGACCCAGAACAGTCCCAGATGCCTCCAACTCAGAGTGGGCTCCAGGGAGGCTAACCAGCCCACAGCTCCCACTGCAGGATTCCTCCCCCAAATACTAGCGTTTAGAGATCCAGCTCTGCATGTCCACCTGTAGACTGTGATTCCTGAAGAGGCAGCTGACCTCACCCCAAAAGTGCCCCAGGAAACAAACATTACCCAGCAAAGACCCTGGGAAAGCAATGGTAAGATCACTTAATTGCAAGAAAAAAAAAGAGAGAGAGAGAGAGAGGGAGAGAGAAAGACCACAAAACTGAACTTAATGTGCATTCACCTAGACCTAAATTAAAAATAAAATTCCTCTACAGAAAGGAGTTTTCAAAACGTGGGGTCTGAGAATATGGCCATATTGTTCCACCCTGAGGAACCCGGCTGATTCACTTTTATGACTAGACGCCTCCTGCTTCCAAGTCCCTTGCTATAAACATTTACAGATTTCATCGCAGCATTAGTACTAAACAATATTCATTAAGAATCCCGCCAAAGTGCAACATGTAAGTAAATCAAACCTTTGATGCTCTATTTTGCAAATTTCATGGGCCACTAGGGATAATTAAAAGGGCAATTATATAAAGTTGGTGCAGTTTTGAGAAACAAATGACATTTTCTGCTTTAAAGCACTTGATAATTTGATATTTTGCTATTAGGACCATCATGTGTACTTTTATAGACAGGCAGCCAAATAAACAATAAATGTTCCTTAACAGCCTCTAATGATTGTTTTTGCCCACTGATATCACTCACCATTCCAGTCCATAAATCATATGCTACGAGATTAAGGTAAAGATAATGAAAAAGAAGTAGGAGCTATTTAAGCTAGAGGCAGAAAAAATAAAGCAAAAAGCGTTGATTTCTTCTGTGTTTTCTGCAGAGACACCCAGCAAAGTCGGAGCTTCTGAGGGCTGGAGCGGGGCTCAGTGTGTCCCCGTGTTTAACCACCGCTCCGAAGCCAGCAAAGTACATTACAGCTCATGAAAAATACAGCGAAGAAACTGCTAGTGGCAGAAGCATTTAACTTCCTTGTTAGCAGCCTCCCCCAAGTGGCACTTTTTCACCGGCAAGTTGTTTATTATGTTCCGTGCCAGGCAAAACTGATTAAATGGGGCTCTTAAGAATCAAAGCGTTATAAATTCATGGAAATACAGCAAGCAATAAATTCCATGGAATTAAAAGCTTACTAGTGCTATTAGCATTTCAGGGTGTTTGAATTGTTAATACTGATGTGCAAAAATGATGTGCCTCTAAGACAAGGCAGACCGAGGCAAATACAGCCAAACAGCTCTGAATTTATTTTTATTTTTTATTTTATTTTATTTTTTTATCAAAGTGGCACTGGGACTTGGCAGTGGTTATAGCCACAGGAATGGAGGAGGAGAGTAATTATCTCCAAAATTCTCATCTGCCCTGAGAAGTCAATCCCACTACAGAAGACACAAGCCACCAAAGAAAGGTTTACACAGAGGAGGAAAACAAGAGTGAAAATATGATGCCAAGGATTTATGCTTTCAATGAATGGAAATTTCATCTTAACAACTAAGAGGCATGGGGGTCCAACGCCTTGTGACTGGGTCGATCTTGGTTTTCCTATAGAGCACATAACCCTAGACTGGGCCCCAAAAAAGTTACCAAGTGGGGCCGGGTACACTGAAGCAATGACCACGAAATTTCCCTGGATTGTCATGTTTCATCTTCGACTCTTCCTGGGGGTTTATACAGTGTTATTCTAAAGTGACAAGGGGTAAGAAAAAAATCAATTATTATGCCATTAAGCAAGTGATATCCTCCCAAGTGCAAGACGCAAAGTAGTAATTCTATTGCACCCATCTATTTAAGGAATACTTTGTTCCAACAGAAATGCATCTCAGGATTTTTGCTACGCAAATACAAATGCGAGACAGAGAAAGAAAAAAATATTAATCAGTGCTTCATGAAGACTTAAAAATTAAAAAAAAGAGAGAATGAGATATATTTCATTTTTTTAAAGAAAGAAATACTGTCAACAAACAGTGCGATCACTTGAAAACACAATTTAAGAGAAAATAGACTTGAGAATTACCGAAATTCATGGAAAAAAGGTAATCCAAAGGGATCTAGACAAGTACCCAAAACATCTATTCATCCA